AACTAATAAAATAAAATAAAATAAAATAAAATAAAATAAAATAAAAAACTAGAAAAAAAAGAAGCCTGAGCCATTGGCCAGTTTATAATTAATACAAGCTTTGTGTGTTTATTTGGGACTAGGGCTGCAGGACCAGTAAGGACAGAGAATCCATCTACAAACATGAGCATTAATGTTGTAAAAAAGCAAACATTACCTTAGTATTGTTACAGAAAAACTTTAAACCAAGCAAATCCACTGAAAGGGGCTGGAACTACTAAGGGTCAATGGCCATTTGTGTGTGTGTGTGTGTGTGTGTGTGTGTGTGTGTGTGTGTGTGTGTGTGTGCATATGTGTTATGTGTGCACATGAACTCATGTGTATACAGAAGCACAACTCTGTGTGCATATGAACATGTGTGTGTTTGTGTGCATGTATGTATAGGTCAGAAGACAACCTGTGCAGTCATTTTTCAGGTGCTTTCCACTTTATTCTATGAGAAAGGGTCAATCATTGGCCTGGAACTCTCCAAGTAAGCTAGGCTGGTCAGTACTTCTCAGAGATCTGCCCGTCTTCGGCCCCCAGTGCTAGAATGACAAATGTGCACTACTATACCAGCTTATTTATTTATTTATTTATTTATAGTATGCGTGCACATGTGCCCTGTGTGTGATGTGCACCTGGGTGTCATAAGCCATGGTGTGTATGTAGGAGAGGGGAACAGCTTTCTAAGTTGCTTCTCTCTTTGAGGGCTGGGGCTGTAACCTCCCAGCCCCAGCCCTAGCCTAGTATGCACAAGGCCCTGATTTCATCCCTTATGCTGAAAATGAAACAAAGCAAAACTTCTAGGTCAGATCCTTTATTTTCTCAGTCTCTGTATGTGTGTTTGAGCAAACTTTTGTCAATTTGTTTACACGTACAGTGGGGTGAAGAATTAATGTACTCCTTTTTAAAATTTGCTTATTTTTTGTTTGTTTGTTTGTTTGTTTTGAGACAGTGTTGTAGACTGAAGTTTCTGTCCTAGACTGTCCTGCAGTCATTTAGCTCCAAATAAACACAGAGAGACTTCAATTAATTATAAACTGTTTAGTTGATGGCTCAAGTTTTTTCTTTCTTTCTTTCTTTCTTTTTCTTTCTTTCTTTCTTTCTTTTTTTTTTTTTTTGGTTTTTCGAGACAGGGTTTCTCTGTGTAGTTTTGGAGCCTATCCTGGCACTTGCTCTGGAGACCAGGCTGGCCTCGAACTCACAGAGACCTGCCTGCCTCTGCCTTCCTAGTGCTGGGATTAAAGGCATGTGCCACCAACGCCCCGATTTTCTGTCTTTTGGGGGGGCTTTTTTATTAACCATAGTTTATTATATCACGGGAGAGTGATCGAGAGAGAAATAGAAGAACAGAGTAGGACAGAGAGTAAGAGAGAAGAGAGACAGAGAGAAGACAGAGGAAGAGAGAGTTAATGGCTGACAGCCATGGTTGATCGCCAGAGAGAGCGGCTCAGGCTTCTTATTGGCTAGCTCTCTCTTAATTACTGACCCATTTCTATTAATCTGTGTATCTCCACATGGTCTTGGCAACTCACTCTCTGTCTTCCTCTCCCCAAATTCTCCTAGTCTGGTAGTCCCGCCTATACTTTCTGCCTGGCTACATCCTGCCTGTCCATTGGCCAAAACACTTTATTCATCAACCAATAAGACAAACATATATTCGTAGTACACAGAAGGACATCCCCCATCACAGTGTCTCACTAGGTAGTCCTGGATGCCTTGAACTCACAAAGCTCCACCTACACCGAGATTGAGTGCTGGGATTAAAGGTCACACCATCACCTTTGGCTCAATCCCCTGCTTTTCAAGTGCCATGGGGCTTTTTTCTTTTTTCCAAGGATTTATTTTTATTTTATGTGTATGTTTGCTTGCTTGTATGTGTATCCTATGTGTACCTGGTACCTGTGGAGACCAGAAGACGGTATCATATCCCCTGAAAATGGAGTTGCAGCCAGTTGTGAGCCACTTTGTGAATCCCGGGAACCAAAGCAAGCTCTGCAAGGGCAGCCAAAGCTCTTAATGGCTGAACTATTTCTCCAGTAGAGCCTGGAGAGACTCCTGCAAGCCCCTCTCTAGGTGTCAGTAAACAGGCACCCTATCTCCACACCTCAGCCTTGTCTGAGAACAGGACAAATAGCCATCTATCTCTTTAAGCGAGAGACTGAGCTCACCAAGCCAGGAGGCAATCATGTACTTGAAATCTGGAGGGGAAAAACAGTAGGCCAGGCTACTCGGGACACTTGTGCACAACACACCCACTGGAAATCAAGATACGGCTCCGGGGTCTCAAAATCACCTCAGAGGGGGCGTGGGTATTGGAGGAAGGCTTCAGGAAAGTTTACTAGTTAACCGGATCCCGGCCACCGACGATTGATAAAGAGCGACTGGACCTTGGACAGCCACCAAGCTGCGTGCTGGGGTAAGCGGCAGCACCATGGACAGCGCCAAGCACAGCGGCTCGGGAGCCAGAGGCGGGGAGAGGCTTCATCAGCTGATGCCTTACGTAGCGCCGGATTCCCACTTTGCTAAGGCAGGTCCGGGTGGGCGCACCAGCCAGCGTTTTCGGAGTAGCAGCCCCAGGCATGGTGGAGAGAGGCCAGGTCAGGGCAGAAGACCATCTCTAGAAAGCAGGTACCTGCGTGGCTTGCCCAGCATCCGGCTGTTCCCCAGGGAGCCACTGTCCGGAAAACGGGGTTGGGGGCGGGCAGGGAGCAACCCTGACGCACCAGCCGGGTTCCAGGCATCCACCCTGCACGGAGCCGATCCCAAGGATGCTCTGCTGCGGGCGACCAGACAGCGGTCTCCGCCGAAGTGAGGAAACGCAGGCATGTGATAGCTTAGGCGGGCCCTGGCTTCTAGACTCTGCCCCTTGAGTCCGCTTTCCAGATCTCTAAGGATACCGAGACTGTGCGGCTTGCAGCCTAGCGTCCTCCTCTCTGCCTCCGTCTCCTCCAGACTCTCAATGACTGGAGATCCGGGCCAGGTTCAGAGACTCGGCGGAATCTACTATTCTGTGGTCACAAATTTCTAGATTGACTCCGGTGGGCTCAGTGGCTGCTGAATCTGAACGCAGGTGTCCCGGGCTGGCGATGGATCTGACTGTAAACTTGACCTCCTTTTCCCTCTCCACTCCCTCCTCTTTGGAACCCAACCGCAGCCTGGGCACGGAAGACCTGCGCCCTAGTCGGCCCTTTCTGTCAATTTTCCGAGTGCTGGTCCTGACCTTGCTGGGCTTCCTAGCCGCGGCCACGTTCGCTTGGAACCTGCTGGTGCTGGCCACCATCCTCAGGGTACGCACCTTCCACCGCGTGCCACACAACCTGGTGGCGTCTATGGCCATCTCGGATGTGCTGGTGGCTGCGCTGGTCATGCCACTGAGCCTGGTGCACGAACTGTCCGGACGCCGCTGGCGGCTGGGCCGGCGCCTGTGCCAGCTGTGGATCGCGTGTGACGTGCTCTGCTGCACAGCCAGCATCTGGAATGTGACAGCCATAGCCCTGGATCGCTACTGGTCTATCACACGCCACCTGGAGTACACACTCCGTGCCCGCAAGCGTGTCTCCAACGTGATGATCGCGCTCACCTGGGCACTCTCTGCTGTCATCTCTCTGGCCCCGCTGCTCTTCGGCTGGGGAGAGACGTACTCTGAACTCAGCGAGGTGTGCCAGGTCAGTCGCGAGCCTTCCTACACCGTGTTCTCTACGGTGGGCGCCTTCTACCTGCCGCTGTGCGTGGTGCTCTTCGTGTACTGGAAGATTTACAAGGCTGCAAAATTCCGCGTGGGTTCTAGGAAGACCAACAGCGTCTCCCCCGTTCCCGAAGCTGTGGAGGTGGGTGCTACAAGGATCGCTAAAAATACTTCACTTGCATCTGCAAAAGCGCTCTTCTCAGCACACCTCCCCCGAAGTCTATGGAAGGTGAAACGCTCCAGTTTAGGGAGGTGTAGGCAAGGGAGGGCGCAAGCGCCAAAGACTCCCTCTGCTCTTAAGTTCTGAATTACAGAGCCCCTCCTGAGTTGAGTGCTGGTGGATCATATTCTGTGTGGAAAATGTGGGGTTTGTGAACCATGTCTTATCGGGTCCACTTTGGCACTAAAGCTCTGTGGATGGACAGCATCCCTTATAGGACATCTGGTGAAGCTGGTGTCTACGGGACACTGGCTCAGTGTCCCAGAAAAGTACCCTGCATTGGTGGTGAGGGGGGAGGATTAGAATGATTGACAGGATGACTGCCACACGGTTGATTGCAGGCTCATCGGTTGTGTTGTGTTCTAGGCTACTTTGCAAACTCTAATTTCTAGGTTGTTGTCATTCTTCATTCTTCAGTGTCCTGTCTAATCGCCTCCCACCAAGATTAAAGACAACTGTTTACTGTCTTCTTGGTGCCTGTGTTTGTTGTCTGCTTTCTTTGCCTTATGCTTTGTACCATTGCTTCCTGGGCCTATTTACTGCAGCTCCACCAGACCATGGGCAGCACTGAGGACCACCTGGCCTATCTGCCTTCCATTTGAGTAATATGCAGGAAGAAATTCAAGTTTCAGGACAGGCAGCTCCCCAGCTCCCTACAGCTGGCATTTGAAGCAGAGTCTCTACAAGGAAGCCCCACCTCCATCCTCTGCCCCCCTCTCCTTAATTCCTGGAAAGCTGACTTGGTGATTCAGTGTTCTCAAGCTCCAAGAAAAGGAGCCAGCTCCCTACCCAGTGCTGAGGCCTCACTTTTGTATTGAGTTAGATCTGACAAGGATACGGTCCCCGTTTTCTGTTGCTGTGCTCTGGGACAGCAGCATACTTTAACTGAGTGTGCTGAGTGTGTTGTCTGGACTGCCTGGTGATTTCATTTGAACGATGATTGTTGCTGTTATTATTACTATTATTGTTGGTTTCTTGAGACAGGGTTTCTCTGTGTAACTTTGGCTGTCCTGGAACTCACTTCATAGACCAGGCTGGCCTTGAACTCAGAGAGATCAGCCTGCCTCTTCCTCCCAACTGCTGGGATTAAAGTCATGCACCACTACCGCCCAGCACCTGGTAGTTTCTAATAGCACAGAATGACCCCACAACAAAGAATTTCAAGGACCAGAATTCACAGAACTGAAGTTTGGAAACTACCCTATCTATCAGAGAGCCCAGAGCTAGGTTCCAAGTAGCATCAGGCAACTGAAGCTTGGGCTCCACCTCTGGTTTCCCTGGTGACAGAACGCTTTGCTTTTCCTTGGAATTTAAATTACCATATAAAAAGGTGAAGGTTGTTCTATCTCTAACCTGGCTTTTCAAGTAGCCAAAAAGGAGCTGGAAGGGATAAATGACCCCCTAATGAGACAATGCGCTTTTCCCTTCCCTAGGCCTCTTCTCTGGTGCAGCCCCTTTGGCAATCAGCACAGTGATTCCTGTTTTCATCACACCTTCCTGTTTTCTTCTTTTTATCTATCTTTCCTTCAGATGCTGGCCAAAGGCCAAGCATGCTTTCCCTAATAGTACAGGCTCTTTCACCTTCTCTCTGAAGCGCCTCTCCTTTTTGCCCTGTGGCTGCCTGCTGACTGCTGTAGCAAACCGCTTGACTTTCTCTCCCGTCTCCATTCCCATCCATTCGCAGCTGCCCAGGTTCACACTTCCCCACCCTGTTGCTTTTCTTTTCAACTCTAATAAAATTGTCCCCAACTTCCTTTCTGGTCTGTTTCTAAATTCTTTTACCAATGAGTGATGAGACTGTGAACCTAAAAAGTGAGCCTCAGTTTCCCCAGGAACCCAATTATGAACAAGAGTTACATTGGGAAATTCGGGTTCCCTTTGTGTGTGTGTGAGTGTGTGCTGAGGGATTCTTGGTCTCATTAATAAAATAATTTAAGAATAGGCTCAAATGGAAACACAAGACAATTTTAGCGTTCAAAAGAAAACCCCGAAGGCAGGCAAGCCTTAAAACCTTAGCTGCAGTCCAGAGGAAGAGGAGAGGGAGGGAGAGTCATTCGGTTTAAGCCGAGGTCAGATGAAGCAAGGTGGACAGGAGGCCACGGCTGGGTGGGGAGGAGGCTTTAGGAAGAGTGAGGACTTCCAAAATGTTGGGGTGGTGGTGGCGAAGTGTTAAGAAAGCATGCTTAGCAAAGCGACGGAAATGAGGAAGGGAGAAGTTGCTTGTAGGAGAGCAGGCCGGGAAACCATGTGGTGGGAGCCTAGCAAGACCCTGTCAGGGTAGGGACTGGGGAAAGCAAAGCTCAGTATCTCAAAGGTTGAGTTATTCCACCTACCTCGCAGCGTGGCTTAAGGAAGCCTTCGTTCCTAAGGGTAGTGTCTTAGCCAGGGGAATGACCCTGCCCAACTGAATGTGAACTCTGTGTGAGTCACAGAGATGAAAGAGGCTCTCTTCCCACCACTGGAACCCAGGCTCAAACCTTTCAAAAGGGTGCTACATAGCCACAGATTGGCCTTTCATCTACTCTTTCTTCTATCTGCTGTGCATCTGAATGTTCTTAGGTCTCCATTCAGGCCAGAGACTGTCGTCTCTTGATCAGTTTTAAAATTTTTTTTTATTTTGTTTTTTTGTTTGTTTGTTTTCTACTCTAACAATAGGGACATGCTGGGTAGGTTCATTAGTGACTGGGGGTGGGGTTCATTACAGGTAGTGACATAAGACTACCAGCCAAGGGAACGAAGCTAACAGAGTTTTGATTACTGAACTGAGGGCTGGAGAGGCATGGCTCAGTCGGTGTTTTTTGTTTTTGTTTTTTATTTCTTTGAAAACATTTCTTGGAGGACTGGAGAGATGGCTCAGTTGTTAAGAGCACCAGCAGCTTCTCCATATGGCTCACAACCATCTGTAACCTGAATTCCAGGGGATCAGATGCCCTCTCTGGCCTCTGAGGGCACTGCATGCACACGGAGCACATACATAAATGGAGGCAAAGCACTCAAATATTAGATAGTTAAATACAAACATTTTGCAAGTGCCCATTGAGGCCAGAAGAGGGCGCTGGATCCCCTCCAGCTCTCTGTGTAGCTCTCTATGGACTGATCGCTTCTCCTTAGTGCTGGAATTAGAGATGCATCTCACCATACTGGTGCTCAAGACTGTACTTGAGGCTTGAGCATGCGACCAACTGAACTACATGTCTAACTTCAGTACATTTTTTTTTTTTAATTTTGTGAGTACAGGTGTCTAATTGTGCACCACATGTATCCTTGTGTCTGGAGGCTAGGAAAGAGTACTAGATCTCCTGGAACTAGTACTGGAGTTAGAAATGGTTGTGAACTGCCTTGTGGACACTGTGAATCGAACCCATGTCCTCTGGAAAAGGAGCCAGTGCCTTTAACCACTGAGCTATCTTCCCAGCCCCCTTGGTACACTGTTATCAGGATAAAAGGAAAGGTTTCTGGGGGCTCTGATCCAGCTGCATGGGTGCATTGGGCTGCAGTTCCTCTCATTTGTGGCGTGTCTATAGGGACTTCAGGCCCCTTGCTGTCTTTTTGGTAATGCTGCAGTCTACAGTGTAAGTATTCTCTGCTACAATCTCGCCACGAGTGGCCACACAGTTTATTTGGAAACAGACAATACACATTGAACTCTATGTGAGTCACAGAGATGAAAAAGGCTCTCTTCCCACACCGGAACCCAGCCTCAAACCTTTGAAAGGGGTGCTACATAGCCACAGATTGGCCTTTCATCTACTCTTTCTTTTATCAGACATCTTTTTGTCTATTTGTTATTTGTTTGTGGTGGGGCTTCCTATACAACACAGGCTAGCCTAGAATTCCTTATGTAAGCTAGGTTGACCTTAAACTTGAGAATCTTCCTTCCTTAGCCTCCAAAATAGATTGCAGCACATACGATACCCAGCAACCAAGTATCTTATTAAAGACAAAATTTCCTAGGGTTACTTTTTTAAATTTACTGCAAACCAACTTCCCTCTGCCTTTCAGATATCTTGTTTTTTCATTATTTTACATTTTGTGTGTGTGTGTGCCTCCGAGCACATGTGGAAATCAGAGGACAACTGGCCCAGAGTTGGTTCTCTGTTTCCAACCAGTGAGTTCCAGGGTTCAGACTTAGGTCATCAAGTGGCAAATGCCTTTACCCATTGAGCCAACCCACCATTCTCAGATTACTTTTATTTCATATAATTTTAAAAATATTTTATTTTGTATGTTATAGGTGTTTTGCCTGTGTGTGTGTATGTATGTATGTATGTATGTATGTATGTATATATGTATGTATACCAGGTGTGTTCCCGGTGCATGCAAAGGCCAGAGAAGAGTGTTGGATCCCCTGGAATTGGAGTTACAGACAGTTGTGGTATGTCATACTAGTGTTGGAATCAAACCCAGGTCATTTGGTTGAGCAGTTAAGCAGTTGAGCAGTGCATACTTTTTTAGACGGGGTCTCTCTATGTAGCCCTGGCTGTTGGGAAACTCACTAAGTAGACCAGATTCTGAGATCTGCCTGCTTCTGCCTCCTGAGGGCTGGGATTAAAGGTGTGGGGGCCACTTCACTCAGCTGAGCAGCTAGTACCCTTAACTGCTGAGCCATCTCTCCAGCCTACCCCCAAATAACTTTTAAACTGTATATCAAATGAGTTTATCTTAGGCAGTACAAACTAGCAGGGCATCCACAGTATAGGCAGATGTCCTCTAAAGTTAGAAGGATGGGGACTTGGTAGGTGATTATGTTCCCCCTTGGAATGACTTTAGTGAGCAGGTTTTAGATAGTGATTTTGCTTATCAGCTAATATGAGATATTGATTATTCTTTATGTTAAATTTTTATTAATTAATCAATTTTTTTTCTCCAGCCCGATCAATTTCCCCTGACTCCCTTCTCTCCTCCAAGTCCCTCCCCCTAAG